TATACTTAAACATAACCAAGAAAAAAGAAAGGGTTTGAAAAAAAATAACTAAATTTAAAATTCAAATGCGAGAAAAAAATACATATATAAAAAATATTTTGAGTTAAATCTGAAAAAGATTGAAAAAATTAAAAAAAACAAAAGAAATAATATAAAAGAGCCTAGCCAACCACTTCTAAATATAATTTAGTTAAAGTTATGACTATAGACAAAAAGATTAAAGAGTTTTTGTAAAGTAAAAGAAGAGTTTTTGAAAAAAAAGTAAAACATCTTCTGATCTAAGGAAAGAAAAAAAAAGAAAAAATAAAGAAAAAGCAGAAAATATAAAAACAAAATAGAAACAATTAACTACAAAAATAAAAATAACAAAAAAAGAAATAAAAACAGTATATTACAATATTAATAAATTTAGAACTAGAGAATAAAAATTAGAAAACCTTTTGAGTTGAGTAGAAAAAAAAAGAAATAGTAATTTTAAAGATAACAGAGATGAATATTATAAAAAAAAAAGTAAAATTTCTAGTATATAATTATAATATACAATATAAAGATTACTAAGCTAATGTGATATTAGACAAGAAAAAAAGATTAAGTAAAAAAATATTAGTAGATAAAAAATAAGAAAAACATATAAAAGCAGTTAAAAAAGTTAGCAAATATATATTAAAGATATGATTGTACTTTAAATAGTTAGAATTAGTAATAATAAAAGTTTATATTTTTTCAAATAAAAACTAATTAGTAAGAAAATTTAGTAAAGAATTATAAATAATAATAAGCAAAAAGAAATATATAGAGATAGTTATACTAGAAGATTTTAACTATATAATAGAATATATTAAACAAATAACATTTACAAACAAAAAGCTATAAAAAATTGCTAATATTTAACTAACTTAAAAAATAAAATTTTATAGATTTGTATAGAAGTTTATATCTGAAGAAAAAAATATATATATGATCAAGTTATGAAGTAGCAACAAAAATTAACTATATTTGGCTATTGAAAACACTCACATCAGACCTTCAGAAAGCCAATATAAAAGAAGCAGAAGATTTAACTGATAGTAATTACAAGATCATATTAACAAAAATATAAATAGAATATGTAAGTGCAAATTGCAATAATGTAAAAATTAAGCATAAAAACCAAATAAAAACAATATATTTTTATAAAAAAACAAACAAAAAAATTGAAAAAAATATTAAGAAAGCTGTAAAATTAATTAAAGTAAAAAAGAGTAATAAATAACTAGAAGATAATATAATAAGCATAAAATGCAATACAAATAGGCTAAACTATATATAAGATGTATTAAAAAAGTTATAACTAAAATACTAAATAAACAAAATTTAAAGAAAAAGTATTTAACTATAGTTGCAGATGAAACTAAGTTTAAGTTTCACAAAGTTTCATTATAAAGTTTCTTATTAGCTGTTCTATTTAGTTTTACTAGTTTCATTATTAGTTTTACTAGTTTTATTTGCAACTTTATATTTGACACAAAGGCAAACAGAAGGCAAGATTGAAAAAAGATACTGCAGTACAAGCATATTATTGAATTATAACAAATAATCAAGAAAACAAAATTAAAAAAAAATCAAGAAGTAAAAGAAAAAAAAAATCAAAATAAACAATAAACTTAAAATTATAAGTAAAAAAAATAGAAACAATGCTACTAAGACTGCATAAACAGTAGTCAGAAGTCTGAATAGATAATATAAAAGGCTGACAAAAAATAATCAAAGAGAAGAAAAAAGAAAAATAAGAACTAATACAGTGAAAACATATAAAAAGAATATAAACAAAAGATGTAAAATGGTTAAAATGAATCAAGAATGAATAATTGCCAGTTTGCTAAATAAACTATATAGAAAGATAGTTCTTGATAAATTTATAATACAAAACAAAGAGGGGTGTAGCGACCTAGTGAAGTGGTCAAGTTGTTAACCCTCCAAGGAGTAGGTTGGGTGTTCAAATCCTATCAATAGTGAAAATTTGGATAATCACCTATGTAATATTCATATTATAGCAACTGTTACTAACAATTGGGTTAGAATACCTGTAATGGCAGTTGCACCAGCATGACTGGCAGGTCATGGGGCATCTGTGCAATGTTGGAGTTACATGGAGGAATGCAAACTGACAAATTGGGCAGTACAAATACTAGATAAGTCCTTGTGGCTATGTAAATCTGTTAAAATTGGATAACAAGAAGTCCATTTAGAAAGACCTAAGTAAAGAGGTAGCTGAATCTTCGACAGCTCTACTATAAAGGCTAGTCCAGGAAAATGGATACCAATATCATAGTACCTGGTCGTAGTAGCCATACAAACAAGAACCTCCAAGTTGGGGTCCCAAAAGTACCACCAACCAGGCTGCCAGAATGAACTGAAGGAAAAGGATATTGGGCCGACCTGATATACTGATGGACTGGTTGTAGTCTTATACAGGCTATCTGAATTGGAAGTTTGGTAAAAAGGCTGGACAAAAAGCAGAGATATACTAAAGTACTGGGGTTATGCTGTGAAGTAGATGCTGAGTTTTAAGTAAACTCTATAAGGGCATAGCAGTTTAATGGTTAGTCCTGACCGCAAGTGTTGGTTCTGCTATAGCGATATCTAAGTCAGCTATAAAAATAGGTACAGAAGGCTCTGGGGGGTTTACCTTGAGGATAAATTAGTTCTAAGGTTGAGGATGATGATCTGGTACATTAGTGATAACCAGTGATGTTAATACAGGTTACAGGTTCAGAGGGTTTAAAGTGAAACATCCAAGCAGAGGTGTTAGGTACGACAATTGATAGGGAACCTTTAGGTGGACTTCTTAAATAGGTAATATAGAAAAGTTACACATGTAGCTAATTGTATGCTCTCCTGTAGTGATTTATTGAACCACAATACTGATAAGTGATTAATAAAAGTCAAAAGACCAAAGAGGTCACCTTAATACCAAAAAAAAAAAATAATAATAATACAAAACAAAGAAATTGATCTAATAACAAAGTCAAATACAATTCTAAATAGTTTGACAAAACATTTTGAAACCTAATTTAAAAAAAAAAAACCAAACTAGAAAAAATGTATGAAGAATAAAGAAAAGTATACAATTCTAAAAAATAAATTGATTAAGTCTAATATAAAAAAGTAAAAGAAAAGATAAAAGAAAAAGAATAAAAAGATATGCTTAAAAAACTCAAAACTAATACAGTTCTAAAATATTAAATATAAGCTATATACTAATAAAACAAGTAGAAAAAAAATTATAAAAAATTTTAAAAACTTTGTAAATTTGACTTTAGAAAAAAAATATATTGGTAATCTCATTAAGCATGATACATGAGCATGATACATTTGATTTAAAATAGCATATATATAAATTTTTATTAATAATTCTCTATAAAATTTATTGACAATAATCCTTAGGTTATAAGCTTTCAAATAAAAAAAAAAGTAAGTCATTATGACTTCTCATTGATGAGAACCAGCCACTCAAAGTTACCCTATTAATTGTTCAAAAATTAATAATAGGTGTAATATTTTCATTCATTATTATGTAATGTATATCAAAAAAACATCATCATGTGTTGCTATTACACAAGCATATAGCCTACCATTATAGGCAAAAGCGTGACCAATAATCCCCACAGTTGCTTATATGAAAAAGTGTTTTATTCGTACTAAAATATAATCAATAATTTCTTTAATTTTCAAAGATCAAATTAATAGCAATTACTTTATCAAAGACTACAGCAATACAATATACTTTTTTGGACAAAATCAAGTATTTTTAGTAATATGAAGATAGGAGCTATTATGTAAGCAGTTTAAATTTGATTTTTTTTAGTACCTAATTATTCCGGTGGACTCGTACAAACAGAAAATCTAAAGTTTATAAAGTCAAAATCGATGATCACATGATTAAGAAAACTCAAAATTAGTTCAAAAGATGGTTTTTTATTAATTAAACCTCTTAAAGCATTTTAATAAAAGCTTTTCTCCTGGATTTTGCAGTTCTAAAGATGGTAAGATAGTTAAAATTAACCTGGTGGATAGTTCACAATGGCTTCTCAAAGATGGTCCGATTTTTATACAATGTTTATTAAAAAATCTAAACGATCTGCAAAGTTTGGTAATTATATAATTAATTTTACTTAGAGTTTGAGGTGCCATTGTGGACGATCCACTGGGCCAAATTTAATTATCTTACCCTTGTTAGAATGACAAAAACCATGCAAATAACTTTATTTAGGACACTATAAAAAGTTTTCATAGTACTAAAATATGGTTTGATCACATTTTAATTTATTTACTCATATGATATTAAATTGTTATAAGAAGTAACTATTATATTTACAATATTTTAAATTTATACCTAGAATATTTAAGTAGAAGGGCATATTTATTAATATATTTTATAAGCTGAAATAAAAAAATAGTATAAAAAATAAATAAATGCATATTTGTTTTATAAAACAAAGTCATTATTTTTTTTTACTCATTTTTACTAATTTATCTTGGATAATATGTAGGGCACAGTTATTAAAAATACACTATGCATAGAACCTAGGTATATATAATTGAATTTACACCCCAAACTACAAAATATAGATTTCAACTGTATTGGTAGTTAAAGGTTGGTAGTTAAAGATCGAAAGATTATTCTTTTTTTTATTTTTATTTTTTATTTTTTTTATTTTATTTATTTATTTTTTTTTTTTTAACATACAACTTTCTTTAACAAAATTTAGACAAATAGTACAATCTAAAAGGATGAATGCAAGCTGCAATAATCGCGTAATGCATAATTATATATATACACCATGAATACACCATAAATTCTGTAAAATTTCTAATCCTACATTTACATCATCATAACTAATCAATTAATTATGAACCAGATCGAACATACTCAAATCAAATGTACTCAAATCGCCCTAACTGTTAATGAAAAGAAGATAATATTATTTGTTCATAACTATATTAAAGAAAAAATAAAAATGACTGACGGACAATCAAAGAAAACCACTAACCTTCATAAAGAAGTTTCTATAGCAACAGGAGTAGGTGAAGTAACTATTGCCCGTGTTGTTGCTGAATTTAATAAAACTGGAAAGGTTACAGCATCAGAACAAGGTCATCGAGCTCCCAAAGATTTTCAAGCAGAATACGTGAATGCAATTCATGTTTTAATTCTCTTTGCAAATAGAAACGGTCTTCCTCTTTCTCTTCGAGAAATAATCCTTGAATTATCTAAATTAGGCTTTGTAATTTCTAAAGCACAACTCGCACGTCACTTGAAAGAACTTGGTTATCATTATGGAAAGGGAGAATGACAAAATATTCTCCATGAGGCTCCTCAAAATATTTTGTATTGGGCACGATATCTCTGTTGGCGATTTGAAAATATTCAGGGACAAAACGATGTACCAACTCTTCCAGATGTTTTCCTCGACGAATCATATTGCCATATGCACCATAATCGCAATTTTCCTGGGTTCCGAAGGATGGTGTGATGTATGAAAAGGGAAGGGGTCGTATGTTGGTTATATTTGGAGCCATCATCATTTTTCATCATAAAACCAGTAATAAAGTGGAAGGAGAGTTCGTTCATAAATCTCTTCTTATTTGGGATCCTATTACAAAGCAACCTACCAGAAAAGGAAGAAAGAAAAAGAATGCAAAAGTGTGGAAGACAGTTCCGGATGCGGTGAAAGTGGCCGGTATTGTTCCAGATAAGATGAATTATCATGGGAATTTTAATGCAGAAGTATTTGAAAGAATTTTTGAAAACCTTTATAAAAATCTTAGCAATGATTATGGACCATGCGTTATCCATATGGATGGGGCAAAGTACCACAAATGTCGCTCTGAAGCCACACCAACTTCTAATTGGAATAAACCCATTATAAAGGAATAGCTAGAATCTCGCAATATCGATTTTGACTCTAGTATGACAAAAGTGGAACTATATAAATTAACGAAAAAAGAGAAAAAATCTATCTCTTTTGTCACTGTCACTATTGCAAATAAGTTTGGTCATCAACTTCTTTTTACACCTTCATATCATTGTGAGCTGCAGCCGATTGAGCTAGTGTGGGGAGTTGTAAAAAATAAAATCGCAGAGGGGCAAAAGCAGCCAGATATTCTTTCTCTTCGGAATATGTTACTTAGTTTCTTCCAGGAGGAAATAACACCAGATGTGGTTGTTTCATGCTAGAGAAAATGTTTAGGTAAGGCAAGAAAATATTGGGAAATGGTCGATGATGGAATAAATGACGAAACTGAAGATGAAGATGTAGACTTGTATTCAGGAGACGAAAATCTTAATGAGGAAGTGTAGATGAAATACTACTTTAAATTGATGATCTATTATGCATACCCCATGTGATGAATTTGATACATAATAAAGTTTTTTTTTTATTATGTAAATCGTCATTTATGCATTAAGTAAAAATGTTTGTTGTGGTCTTTTGCGCCTATAATAAAATTTTAAAGTGAATTAAGGAATATTTTACTAATGCGTTCTATGTTTTGAATCAGAGTTAAAGAAATTTTACAGGATTTTAAAAAAAAATAAAAAAAAGTTTAACATTAAATATCAAAAAATCCCTATTGTTAACTGTGCATAAGGCATTAAGTAAACTTATTCTTCATGGTCGAAAATATTTAGTACAAAGTTTTCATAGCGATAGATAAAAATATTTCTTATTAATTTGAAAATTTATTTAGGCGAACATAGTTGCAAATTTTAAATAAATTTCTTGCATTTATTTTTTTTTAATTTGTTTACTAATTTAGAAATTCTATGAGGAAAGTTTTACATATCGATATAAAATTTTAATATTTTATATTTTCGACTATGGAGAACAATTTTGTCTAAGAGCTTAGGTGAGGTTTATTAGTGTTGTTTTATTTATTTTGAATTTTGAATATTTTATTAAAAAAATTAAATTATTTATTTTAAAGATTTTTGAGCTACTAATCGTATTATTAAAATGTTTTTTAAATTTCTTGAAAATTCTAGCACATACGTAAAACATTACTGGGAATAATTTTTATTAGTAAGAAAAGTACAGTTCGCATAATAAAAATTTTTTTTTTATATATAGGAAAGTTTTGGTTCGAATATGTACAATCGCTCTTTGAAATTCTGTAAATCAGTAATATAGCGCATATAGCTAGTTTGTGATATATACATTTTTGTGACCTTATATTAAAATATATTTTTTCTGAAAAGTATTGCTTTTTTTTAATATTAATTAATTGGGATATTAGTTATATATTTTATCAACTTGTATTAGACATATTTGATGTATCAGAAGTGATGAGATTATTTATATTAAAGAATTAAAAATTAATACAGATATATTTAATTTCCAAAAATAAAAACTAAGATTATAGTTTAAACCAATAGCATTAATTAAAACTTTTAAAAAAGTCATTACAAAAATATTAATAAAAAGACTGGCTAAAGTGTTTACAAAAAAATATATATATTCAAAAGGTCAAACTATGCAGGTTTGCTAGATAACTTAACAAGACAACTTATACATATAATAAATATAATAAGAAGAAGACACAAGTGAAAAAACAAAGAAACATAAATACTGTTACAAGATATAAAAAAGGTATTTGACTTAGTTCTACTAGAAAGTCAAATAGGCTTTAAAAAAAATTAAAGTACTACAAAAAACAAACAAATATATAATTAATCTCTTTTGTAAATAACAATTTAAAGTTATTATAGGCTATAGTTTAATAAAAAAAATAACAGTAAATAATAAAATAAACCAAGAAGAGGTAATTTTATTTCTAATTTGGCATCCTTTCTATGATCTATTATTGAAAAAATTTAAAAAGATAAAGTACTAAACTATATAATAAAATAAAAAATAACAAAAAAAGTATATAATAGCAACATTATAATGCATAAGCAAGTAGCAATTGTATATACAAATAACATAATATGGATTACAAGAAGCAAAGAACAATTGTTATGAATCTTTAAAATTACAAAAGAGGTTTTCAAAATCAATAATTTTAAAATAAATAAATTCAATTCAAAGCTCATAGTAATAAAGACAAAAATTAAAAAAGAAAAAAGAAAAATTACTTTTGGTCAAAGTAAAATAATAGAAAAATCAAAGAACAAGATTATAAAATTATTAAAAATTTGGTTAAATAGCAGAATAAGAAAGACACTAGTCTGTAAGAAAGTAAAAAGAATAGTTAATCAAATAGTTAAAGATCTAAAATACAAAAAAATAACAATAAGCCAAATTGCATATATAAATAATACAGTAATAATTTCTAAGCAAAAATATCTTTTGTAGCTAACAAAAATGTCAAAAAAGATAATTAACAAAATATATTAACTATGAATATGTTTGGCTAAACATAAATGCAACATAATAAAAACATCAAACAACTGTATAATAGAATATAAAAACTTAGAAAATTGCAAGCTACTAAGTTAAGAAATAACAATAAAGCAAATAAGCAATCTTTTCTTAAGACTTAATAAACAAGATAGTATAAATAAATTAACAAGTCTTAGAATAGTTCAAAGATACCAAAAGGCAAACTTAACAGAAGACATTTAAAACAATAAAAAAAAACTAAAAAAGAAGAAATTTTAGAAGAATAATTTAGTTTGCTGAATAATAGCTAAAGTAAAAAAAATAAAAATAAGCATTAAAGCAAAAAAATAGTTGTAAAAAGTGTATTATTATATAAAGAAATAGAAGATATAATAGAAATAAAACCATAAACAACAAGCAGCAGCACAATGAACAAATAAAAAGTTGCTATATTTGAACCAGCTTATAAATATAAATAGTAACAACCTAATTATATAAAGATAGCTTAAGAGTCTTCAAAAGCTGTTATGCAAAAAAAAAAAAGTCAAATAATTTAGTAAAATAGAAAAGAAGATACTAACAATACAAACAAATAGAGAAATATTTAACTATTATAAGATAAGTAAATATAATATATAGGTATTAAAGATTAAGTAGACAAAAATGTTAGAAAACTAAAGAAAAAAGAATAAATTATATACAACCAAAAATATAACTAGCAATTCAACAAAATAACCAAGAAAAAAAAGTTAGCAAAACATTGGTTAATGTATAAAAAAGATGATAAAATATTCTTAGAAATAAATAAATACAAAGGTTGTAAATTTAGTTTAGAACTAACAATAAATAATATGAGAGATAAATAAAACAAGACAATTCCAAAGCAGAGTAAAAACAAAATATAAAATATGACCAAAACAGAATAAAAAACAGTCCTTGGACCCTTAAGAAAAAAGAGTTTATATTCAAAAATATATAAACAACAGTAGAAGTATAATAACAGAAAAGATATTTCTAACAGACTAAACTTGCTTTTAGGAAAAATTTTCTTTTTTTTAGTATAAAACTTAAAAGTTTAGGAAATCACAATTGATTCTAAAAAACAGAAAAAAAACATATGATGATTAAACAATAACAACAAACAACAAAGTCACATTTCTAATTAGAAAATAGATAGATAAGCTATTAGTAAATAGTAATATAATACAGATTATACGTGAACAACTTAAAGAGAAAATCATACAAGATAGAAATCCAAGAAATAAATTAAATAGATCAGGCTATTGATATAGATATTATATACTACATTAAAAGAGCAGATGATAAAAAATGAAGATATTTAAATTCTGAATTGTTAGATCAAATTTTAATAACATCTGCAAAAGAACCAAGTAATATAAAGCATATAGCAAAAAACTTAGCAATAAACAACTCAAACCATATTACACTAAGTGATGTACTACTTTATAGACAAATTCTTAAAGCCTTAAGTTTAGCAGAATTAAGCTGGCTCAAAGAAGACATAATAGATGAATAGGTACAAAGACTTAGACTGTTAAATTAGAACCCAAAATCAGTTAAATATATTAAAACATGAGTAAAAAAAAATACTTAAAGAAGAAAGAAAAATAGAAAAAATAAAGAAACTTAATAGCATAAAAAAGATGCAAACATTAATAACAAAAAAAAGATATCAAAATGTAGTAAGAGAAAAAATACTACAAAGAAAACTAATTCAAATAATAAATAAAATCATTAGTCAGATAGAGGAGCTTAATATTAATACACTACAAGATATACAACAAAAAAGTTTTTTATTAAGCACAAACCAAACTCTTACGAACAAATTAAATAAAACAAAAGAAACAAAAGAAAAAAAAATAAAAAAGAACACAGAAGCTCCAAAAGATAGCATTATCCAAGATATTAGGAAAATATAGAAACATTGACAAAAAAATAATAGAATTAAAAAAAAAACATGCTATATGAAGATCTAATCTTTATTGACATAATTGAATACAGCTAATAGTTACCAGAAAATAGAGTATGTAATAAGAACATTATTAGCAGAATAAATATGCAAAATATTGCAAAAGATATTGCATACCAAAAATCTTTCAAAATAACTGTGATTGATGTGAAATTATTTCAAAATAAAATAATTTCGCAATATTGTGAAAGAAATAAAATAATTTTGAAAGATTTTTTGGCTATTTTACAAAAAATTTAAAAATTAATAAAAACCAAAAATGAAATTATATTTCGAAAAATAATTTGAAATATTTTGAACATATTGAAAATATTTTAAAATATTTCAAAAGATCAAAAGATTTTTGAAATATTTTAAAAAATATTTTGAAAGTTATAAAATAATTTTATTGATAAATTTATTTTATTTTATTTGAAATATTGCTATTTACATATATTAATATATT